GCTGACTGCAGAAAGAATGTTGTAAATTCTCTGGAAACCTAAATGTGTAAAGGTCGCACACTTAGGTGTGTGAATGACCATTCGTGCACTTGAGGGAGTAAAGGTGTAAATTTCCTTCGAAATTCACACACGTGTGCCTCTATGTGTGTACAAACGGCTGCTGACTGTACGAAATTCGCACGCTTGGGTTTCCGGTGTAAATGAGAGTGTTGGTGCAGGTACGGCTTCATCACGCCCATCTTCCTGGTGATCACCATCGTGGCCAACACGCTGATCGTGGTGGTGCTGTCCAAGCGTCACATGCGCACCTCCACCAACGCCGTGCTCATGGCCATGGCGCTGTCCGACATGTTCACGCTGCTCTTCCCCGCCCCCTGGCTCTTCTACATGTACACGTTCGGCAACCACTACAAGCCTCTGTCCCCCGTCAGCGCCTGCTTCGCGTGGACCGCCATGAGCGAGGTGGGTGTGCCCGCGCGGTGGAGGCGGTTGCCATGGATCCCCCCATGACCTGAAACAACACCACGGGCCTGAAGGAGTCGTTCAAATAGCACACTGTAAAAATTTGTTGTTAAAAAACAGCTCAGTTGTTGACCAACAGCTCAGTTGTTGACCAACAGCTCAGTTGTTCGAGAACAACAGAAGTTGTTGAAAAACAACTACGTTTGTTGTCAACACTGTTATTCAACGAATGTGACGTCACATTCGTTTCAATGTGAATCGTGTCACGTTCGTTTAAATGTTGTGTCACATTCGTTTAAACGCGAACCGGCCAATGCCTGGGCCTATTTGAGCATTAATTCACGTGAAGTCACGTTCGAATGAATGTGACAATATTCAAACGAATGTGACACGTTTCACATGGAAACGAATGTGACGTCACATTCCTTGACTAACAGTGAATGCATTGTTGATATTAGACTATTGGGCACCATTTAGTTTTTGCTGACTTTTTTTATAACTGTTACTGGACAACTTTTGCTGTTATTTGACAAACGAAGCTGTTGTACAACAACACGAGTCAGTTAAAAACTTAACAACGAATTTGTTGTTAAGTGACAACAATTCTTTTTTACAGTGCACGTATCTTTTTGGTGGGGGGGGGGGTTGTACAAATATTCTGGGGTCCCAAGTGGATCAGAAAGGGCATTGGAGTCCAATGAGACCCTGTGATATTTATTTTTACCCCGGGGTACAAATATCATGGCCGTCCCGGTCCTTTTGCAACCCCATAATATTTGCTCTCGCCGGAAGTTTGATGGCAAACGTTATTATCAGACAGGAAATGGAGCGCCGATCCACTCAATTTTCAGGCTGACGATCCTGTAAAATTAG